ATTATTCAACATGTCGTGTTTTTCAAGAGTAATTTTGTTTATTTTGATCAGTATTTGACTACAATAAAATGTATTTTGATAATGTTCTAAAAGAATTTTCTTTCGATCTTTTTTATGTGATTTCTCAATTTCGTTTGTCAATTATCATAAATTTTTCCAATTTAAGTCCTATGCATTGATGTTCTTTTTGATTATTGTATACATAGTAATTATTTACTACAAATTTCGAGATTTTTATATTATATGCAAGGAATTTGATAATATCTTGATAAATAAATAAAAACAAGTTTTGTTGTCTAATACAATGATAAACTTCTCATGTCGAGAGATAAGAAATATATATATATATACATAATAATGTCGTTTTGTATGATAATAGACTTTGTTGTTCTTTTTTCTTTCAACTCTTCGTGTGACAGGAAAAAAACAAAATGATAAATATGTAGTTCATATTAATATTTATTTTCTTGGTACCTATTATTTGTGATTATTACACAGAATCATCGATAAACTCAGCTAATTCAAATCATCTTAAATCAAACTTGCATATCTTGAATTACACATTATATAATGAGGAATCTACTAAAGATTTACCACCAACTATGGCAGATTTTAAAATAGCTTATAAAGATACAAAATCAGATCCATTACCATTATATCTTCGATAAAATGAAAATAATGAAGATATAGTTAGTGCTTATGATTTTATTGTGGATCTTACACGACCTACTGATATTTTTCAAGGTCTCAAAGCATATCCATTGATATTTCCTCGTGGTAAAGAAGTATATGATAATAAAATGAATGATCAACAAAGTCCAAGTCGATTTATAGTTAATGTTGTTGGACGTTATAATGTTGAAAAAACTTATGTATTAAAACTTTTAGCAAATATCAATTTAGAACATTCATTTATTGAACGAACAAATGGTATTAGTGTATCGTTACCTCCACCAACAGTTACACACAATGCACCAATGGCTTTAATTAATACAGTTGGTGCACGTACTTCAGTTATACAGGGTGAGCCATAAGTAACGGAACAAAGTATTTTTCCAATTTCTTTGTTTATACATTGTGGGTTAGGTCTCATATTTATACCACATATACTAGATGATATAAGTCAAAGATGTAGCATATAAACAACATCTTGGTATAGTAATTTGTGCAAAAGCGTACAACTATAGGATAACCAGTAAAAGGAAACATCTCTGAGTTGTAACAAAACTTTTATTAAAGCTATAGAAGAAGAAAATTATGCTTACAAATATTATTCAATGTATTCACCCTCTACGTCTTTACAAAATTGTAGTCGATCAGGTACTGATTGACAAGCTTTTCGACATGATTCAACTGGCAAGCTTTGTATTTCTGTAACAATAGCATTCTTGAGTGCTTGAAGATTTTCAGGTTTTCTCGCATACACACGATCTTTAATTACATCCTATAAAAAGAAATCCATCGGACTGAGATCCGAAGATCGTGCTGGCCAATCAATTGGTCCGCGCCGACCAATCCACCGATTAGGAAACGTTTTATCCAAGAGGTGTCGAACAAGTTGAGCGTAATGAGCTGGAGCTCCGTCATACATATAGTATATTTCTTTTAAATTCATTCGACGTGTAATTGCAGGAGCAATATCTCTATTTAGCATTTCGAGATAGTTGTTTGCAGTAACGGTGTCACTAAAGAAGAATAGTCCGATAAGACTTCCAGACCAAATTCCAGCCCATACGGTGATACTCAGCGCATTCATTTCTTCAGTAATGACAATGTGAGGATTGTCGGCAGCGTAATAAACGCAATTATGTCGATTGACGTGCCCATTCAACTTGAAAGTAGCTTCATCAGTCCAAAATATTCGATCAGGAAACGAAGAGTCGCCAGCGAACAATTCCAGAAAGATATCGGCAAATTCGCAGCGTCTGTCGGGATCATCCTCGCTCAAGGCATGCAATAATCGCGGACGATATGATTTCAATCCGAGCTCCTTCATCATCCGTCAAAGACTGGTTCGAGACAGATTTATCTCCAAAGAAGCTCTTCTTGTTGATGTTCCAGGACTTTCTTCAAAAGCAGCATGAATACGTTCTTTGTTTTCGTCGGTACTGACAGATCTAGGCCGGCCAGGTCTCGGTTCATCTTGGATACTTCCAGTTTCATCTAACTTTCGTACAATATTCAAAATGTTCTGTCGTCTTGGAGGAGCTCGGTCATAATGGTGTTGAAATTGGCGAGCAACTTCAGCTGCATTCTGATAAATAACATACTACTTTACGATTTCAATTCTTTCAGAAGAGAACAACCGAAAACTTCACTCATGGTTAACAGAAATTTGAAAAACACAGTTAGAAATATACACACAACAGAGAGTACAAAGGGAATCAAAAATACCCAAAATAAAATGATAAAACAGCCGATAAAATAGATCACCACTCATGTTATTGCCTACTAGATGCCACTACTAACATATATAAATACTACCAGAGGAGATAGAATAAAATGTATTATGACAGCCAAAACTTCAACTGTCACATTTGATTCATTTTTTATTGATTATCCTGTATTTCTTTACTTTTGCACAAATTACTATATCTACCCAGCTCTACCATTATGACGACCAGATACGACCGTACACGGTCGTTTACGACGCCGTAGTTCTATGCGCCGTATTACAGCCGTAAACCGCCGTGTCGTATACGATGAAATACGACAGCCGTATATGACCCAGGAAACACTGTGAAACGACTCAGCTCTACCGTATACGGCAGTACATGTCAGCGTTTACTGCGCAGTTAGAGACGTATACTGCAGCGAACGGCCGCACTCAGAGCATCCCAAGGCAAGCAACATGACGACCGGATACGACCGTATATGGCCGTTTACGACGCCGTATACGATGCCCTATCGTATACTGTTATGGACCAATCACAATTCAGTAGGACTTTTCTTGCTTATTATAAGGACAACACCTAGTCATGTTCGGGTCGATTCTATGGCTATCGAGGTCGCTCTATCAAACGATGGATATATCTGTAGGGCCCCTCCTTATCTATAGCTGAGAACTAGAATCTCGTAATCTGATTGGTCAATTAAAATGGGCCAATAAGATTTGAGGGTCGGTTGTGGGTTTTGTTATGAAGACAGTTATTAATGATGTTTGAGGATGACTGTTCGTTCTTGTTATCAAAACAGCTATTAATCATGTTTGGGTCGATCCTAGAGCACCAAGAGTTCTCTTCGAAATTACCTAAATATGAGTAGCTCTGGCTTTCGTATTGTTGAGAAATCGGATTCAGTGATGTGAGTCATGAATTGGGATAGGTCGCGAATCCTTTAGAGTAGCTTTAGTTTGTCGACAGCCAGAAAGAATTGCTGTTTGCACTAGCGACTTGCGGTCGGTGTAATATGGAAAAGACTGTAAAAATCTGATTGTAATCGGATGTTTAATGCATGTTACTGCTATCTGTGTTATGACTCTAATGAACTGTAACCTGTGGCGCATTCATATATATATGGTGGACAATGTCTCAGAAAGACTGAAAAAACCGATTTTTCCATCGAATTCTTGATATACAAAAACGGATTTTAATCTAAAAAACAATCGTCTTCTATCAGACCAGTTATAGTGGACACAGACGGTGCGCTGCCATATTTTCCAATGAACGTATACAGTCACTGTATTGCTACGGAAGTCGTTCACGGGGATTTTTTACAGTCATTGTTTACGATGGCCGAATAGCATTGTAAAGCATTGTGTACGATCGCTATGTGCGGCTACCGTATACAGCCAACTTGCACGTTGTCTTACGACATTTTATCACGCTAACGTATACAGGCACCGTATTGCTACGATAGTCGTTCACGACGACATTCTACGGTCATCGTTTACAATGGCCGTAATATGTCGTAAAGCAGCATCTATGACTGTTGTAAACGGCTACCGCGAACATCTGAAGTATACGATGTCTAACAGTGTTGGCCGAGCAAAGTATATAGTCGCCGTATTGTTATGCTAGCGGTTTACGGTGACCTTTTGCGGGCGTTGTTTACAGTGGTCGTAATATGCCGTAAAGTATCGTTTACCATTGCTGTAGACGGCTACCGTAAACAGCTGCCGTTATCCGCCGTGATTGGCTAGTGTGCGGCCGACCATGATTGACTTTGGGAGATTCAATATTCCATCATTTTTCCAAGTTAAGATATATGCTGTTATCGAGGTAACACTTGATGATCATGTC